GAGATTGCGCACCATTGCCCTCGGCACGCCGTTCATTCTTGCCGGCACCAAGCTCGACCTGCTGTCGGGCGACAGTGAAAACAGCGTGAGCACCCTCAAGGTGCTTGCTGACAATGAGATGCCTCCTGTCTCCTTCAAAGAGGTGCCCTACATCCCACTCTTCTACACTGCACATGCCTGGAGGTCGTTCACTTTGTTTGCTCACAGTATGTATGACTGTGTGATGGGAAACAACAGGGTACCAAGATGGCACAGGAGCTGGGTGCCACTGGGTTCATCTCATACTCCTCTCGCACACAAACCAACATCAAGCTCCTTTTTGATGAGTGCATCAAGGCTGCACTCCGTGGTGGGCCTGGGCCTGGGCCTGCACCTCAGGCTGGCAGAGGAGGTTGTATCATGAGCTGAAGTGGTTTAAACAAACCCACTCTCCTTGTTTTTGGTTTGGTTTCTCACCAATCCATGCTCTAACCCCACTTCTGGTTATTTGTCCCCTCTTGGTTATTTAGGAAGGGTTTAGGGGTAAATAGGAACTTGCAGTCATTTGAAATGAGAGGTCCAGTCTTTGAAAGTGATTTTGTTTGTGAGGGTTAGGGTTAAAGTTGCATTCATTTACAATTTTTTTAACAATAACCACAATGCCAGGCATAATTGTTGCCATGGCCAAAGGAGGAAGAAGAGAGAAGAAAAGTCGTTGTCACAGTCTTTGCTGTTGTCCTCCTCACTGCCAAAGTAAATGCCAGCAGTGTTGTGGATTGTGTCATTGATACTGGTGTTGAGTGTGTTGTTGGCCTTGAAGGCTGTGGCTGTGTAGTGGCTGGTGTTGGTGTTGTTGCACCTGCTGGTTGCGCTTGTGGCAGTGTTGTCATCCTTGTTGTCATCACTGGCAGCTGCAACATTGTTGTCCTTGTCATTGTTGTTGTTGTTGTCATCATCACCATCATTGGAGTGGGCACCCCTGTAGGGCGTTTGGGGGTGGGTTCAGTGGGTGGCTACAGTGGGGACAGCAAGGGTGTCAGCAGTGGCAGGGTTGGTGGTGGTAGGGGGGTGATGGGAGACAAGCATGTGTTTGTGTACTGCCTTCTCTGCCTTGCAGGCTGACTCAAGCTGCTGGATGATCATGTTGTGGCAGGCTGTGCACAGGTGGGATAGAGAAACACATGTCCACATGTGGGACAGGTTGACCACAGTAGAGCCACAGGCCAGGCACACAGACACCACATTGGCTGCTGTGTAGCAACTTGGCATGAATGAGCTCCGCCAGCTCTGTATCAGGGATGACAAGTGTAGGGTCCAACAGGATTGTGCCCAGCCAGGCAGGGTGGTGGCATCCTCAAAGACAGATGCCAGGCAGAGCAGCACTCAGTTGCAAAGGCAGGCTGCAGTGGTGGAGTCCAGCCAGCCCTGCAGGTCATGTTGCAGTTGTGACATGCCAAGCATGTTGACTGCAGGGTACTTGCCTTGTGCTAGGGCGTGCTGCCAGGCGCTGGCATTGTTGCACATGTCTGTGCATTCCAACTTGGGCAGCAGGTCACAGAGGCGCCAGATGGTGGGGCTGCTGCAGGCTAGGTCATTGTCCTGCAACTTGGCAAGTTCAGCAGTGAAGAGGATTGAGGCAGCAAAGGCCCACAGTGCAGTCTCACACATGTTGTGGAGGCTGAGGCCTCCAAGTTGTGCTGGCAGGTGTGTGATCTTGGCCTGGAAAGAGCCTGGCACAAGGTCAACGCCCACAAGGCCCCCCATGCAGCAGATGAGTGCTGCATCCCATATGGCCAGCACTGGCCTGGCGCCTGGCACTGCTTGTGCCACAGGTGTCACAGTAGCTGCCCCAACCAGCAGTAGCACAAACCACCTGGCACCACCATACTGTTGATGGCAACAGATGGCCCGGAAGCAAATGAATAAGAGTGGTTCCCAATGTGGTTGATTGTTGATCTCTTCAATTTCATCAGTGCCTTGCCGTTGATGCTCACCATGCCAAGGTCCTCTACGAACGCAGGCCATGTTGTTACCTTGTATCCGTCCATGATGACGGTCTGGCACATGACCTCTTCTTCGTTCAACACACTGTGTTGCTTGAATTCCTCCTCCTCATCGTTGTGGAACGGTGTGCTGTTTGAATGGTGGTAATTGGTCATGTTACCAGGGTGTACGACACTGCAGGCTGACACTATCAGGTAGTGATTAGTTAGGTTGCTGGATTGTATGATGCCATTTACTATGACTGTGTCTCATGTTGTGACAATGGACAACAGACAGTCATCTCTCATTTTGGTGTGTTTGTTTGCTTTCCTGCTGCTGCTGCCAGAAGATACTTTGTTGTAGTGGCTGTTGTACGTGATGTTGTCGCCCTTAATACTGTTATAGTTGCCGTTCATGTGACTGTCTCTACTGTAGACACTGTTGTAGTGCCCTGCAATGCATGAACCTTCGCCGTACACCTTGTTGTAGTTGCCGTAGACCTTGCAGTGTGCTCCTTCGATGGAGTTGTAATGCCCATGAACCTCTATATCATCCTCGGTGAAGCTCATGTAGTTCCCACGAAACACCGTCTGCTGGTGCCTTTCCATTTTGTCTGTACCTACTACTCGGTCACTGGCGCTTGCTCCGTGTTGAGTCCACAACGTGGATAGTAATAATAATAATAATAATTGTTTGTTTGTGTGTGTTGTTTTTGACATGGAACACAACCCTGGCATTTTTCCGGACAGGAGACTCTGTCGTGCTGTAGGTAATCAAGGAACCAAGAGGAAACTATCACACATTGAGGAGGACGAGGAGCAAAAGGATACGCCCATGAGCGGTTTCAAGAGGAGGCACATGGTCTACAACGATCACTTGAAAGGTCCTACCGAAGGAGAAGATGGTGCGGATAACAGCGCCCAAACGGCAGCGAGGTTCTCATGGGAGGACGACATCGATGGAGACGTGAGAGACTTCCTTGAGCAACACTGCGTCATCCACAAGGCGGTTGATGGACAAGGTGACGACGTCGTATACCTTAGGGTGTTTGACGACTTCCTCTTGCAGGAGCAGCAGCAAGAAAACGAATGCACGGATGCCTAAGGTCAGGCTCTTCAACGACTACATGGCAAGGTGGGGAGGGTGGGTGGATCACGCTTCCGGCAACGCGGACGAGACGTCAGACATGAACCGCGACATGATCTTGAGCAGAGCACCACCGGGCACCTTCATGGACGAATCCATCTACACTGAAGCCTATGAGATACCCTCCCAAGGTGGCAGGGAGAAATGGCTCTCGGATCAGCCAGAAGAAGTGCTCAAGGATCACAAACTGCGCATGTGCTTGGAGACTCTGACCTTTCTCTACGCGCAAGAGAAGGAGAGCCGACCGGCAGGACGAACCGGATGGAGAGAGGAACTTTACTAGACTGAGATGGAGGCGCGCGGGCTGCTGGTGAGCGCCAAGGTCTACAACGTGCTCCTCGGGGAGAGCGTGCGGGCGGGCGACGCCCAGCGAGCGCAGGAGGTGCTGCGCGAGATGCGGCGCAAGGACGTGCCGGGCGACTACAAGACCTCCCTCCTTCGCAAGGAGGCCGAGCGGCTGCACTGACTTTCTGACGTCAGCAAAGAACGAAAGACAATAAAGAACGAAGAAAAAAACGGCGACAGCAAAGAACGAAAGCGCTGGTGAAGAAAGAAGTAGAAGACGACCAACGCCGT